AGTTTAAGTGCAGCCTGGAAAACAGAGAGAACCCTGTCTCTATGAAATAAATATTTTTTTAAAAGAGTCCTTCTCTCAAGTCTTGCCCCACTCCTCACTTTAGGCTGCAAGGACCCAGCCCAGGGACAACTTCTGAAAGAGCTGATGCAGACACCCAATTTCCGCATCACCGTGGTGCAAGAGGTGGACACAGTAGAGATCTGTGGGGCCTTAAAGGTGAGAGGGGCACACAGTAGCTATGGGGTGAGAAGGCCCCAAAGGAGGCCTGGCTGAGCTCTGCAAGGCTGCAGGCACTCCAGGCTCTCACTGTTGAGCAGTGGTTCCCCTTCCCTACCATGTCCCACGCATATAGGAGGAGCTGCAGAAGCAAGGCCAGGGCCCTTCAGGGTGGCTGATTATTTACCATCAGACCGTGGACTCCCTTGTTCCTTTCCCACTTTAGCCCCATGTGGGACCCCCTAGCACCTGGCTCAGGAGATGGTCCAGGGGGATGAGGGGATACCCAGGCTAACAGGAGACAAGACATCCACGACACCCAGAGAGACTCATGGCCAGAACTATGGATCCTGGACAGCTGTTGACCTGAGGACTATAAAATGGAATAGTCATAGATGAGAGGGCCAACTAGAGAGAAGAGTGGTTTTCAGAAAATGTCTTCAAGGAGGGAGTATGGGGCAGGGCTTAAAAAGGGGGTGCAGCAAAGTGGGGAACCAAGAGGCAAAAGTAGTTTAGGGGCTTACACACTATACCTCACTTATGTAGTGGGTGTCATGGCTGATGAGAGGAACACGAGGGGGCTCCACATGGGGACTACAGGAGGGGGTCTTTTCTCATCGATGACCTCCACTTCTTCAAGAATGTAGTGGCCGTGGGGGCTGGCTTCTGTGATGGCCTGGGCTTTGGCGACAACACCAAGGCAGCAGTGATTCGGCTGGGACTCATGGAGATGATAGCCTTCGCCAAGCTCTTCTGCAGTGGCCCTGTGTCCTCTGCCACCTTCTTGGAGAGCTGTGGTGTTGCTGACCTGATCACTACCTGCTATGGAGGGCGGAACCGGAAAGTAGCTGAGGCCTTTGCGCGTACAGGAAAGGTGGGCCCCGGGAGAAGGGAGAACAGAGCGGGGGCCCTGTAGGCATCCGGGTAGAGGTGCTTCACAGGAGGCATCTCTGGAGCACAAACATTAAGACTGTTGTGAACATCCCCATCCCTCTTTTCCTCTGAAGACCCCACTTCCATCTGAACTCATCTCTCCACCCTCCACTGACAGCCCTCCTCTCCCATTTCTATCTACTCGTCCTGCTTTCTGCACAGTCCATTGAGCAGCTGGAGAAAGAGATGCTGAATGGACAGAAACTGCAGGGGCCCCAGACAGCCCGGGAACTACACAGCATTCTCCAGCACAAGGGCCTTGTGGACAAGTAAGTGTTGGCCACAGCCCCACTGATTAAGGGAGCCATGGCCAGAAGTGCTTGCCGTGTTCATCTTCTTGCACCCACCACAAATCTGTGAAGTGGACAGAGAGGGGAGTGTTACCTTATGTTTCAGACAGAGTCCAGAACTTGCAGAGTCTGGCATTCCCATTGTCCCCCAGCTAGTTTGTGGTCTTTGAACTCCTTCCAGTCTAGTGCTCTTCACACTACATTACCTGGATCCCTTTGTGCCCCCCCTTCCTTGTGCTCTGCTCTGGGGATTGGAGCTCTGGGGCAGCAGAAATAAGCTCATCAGCCAGGCACAGTGGCTCATGCCTGTAATCCCAGCACTTTGGGAGGCCGAAGCGGGCAGATCACCTGAGGTCAGGAGTTCGAGACCAGCCTGACCAATACGGACAAACCCCGTCTCTACTAAAAATACAAAATTAGCCAGGCGTGATGGCGTATGCCTGTAATCCAGCTAGTCCAGAGGCTGAGGCAGGGGAATCACTTGAAGCCGGGAGGCAGAGGTGTTGCAGTGAGCCGAGATTGCGCCACTGCATTCCAGCCTGGGCAAAAGAGCAAAACTCCATCTCAAAAGAAAGAAAGAAAGAAATAAGCTTATCCCACTTTTGTCCATCACTCCCAGTTTGAGTTTCTCCCCCAAGGCCAACCCATCTGTTCCCTGAATCCTGTCCTGGGTGTTGAGATGTAAGGAGAATGATGGGCTCTGCTTCAAGGTGCTCCTTTTCAGGGAGCAGAAAGATAGCAGGGGTGACTGGGCTGATCAGAGCAGAGCTGTGCTGGTCTGAGAAAGACTCCTAGAAGAAGAGAGTATGAAACAGGTTCAGAAGATTCACTCATGGCTGGTCATGGTAAAGCCTGGAAAAGGAGCAGCTGGGCAAAAGGATGGGAAGAAAGAAATGGGCATTTATTGAGCACTTTCACATCATACCTAATTACATCTTCACATCACAATCATATCTTCACTCCTTTGTTATACTGGCCCCATTTTACAGTTGATGACACTGAGGCTCAGAGAGGTTAAGTGGGTTGCTCAACTGGCACAAAAAAATCCAAGCCAGAGAATCATGCCGGCCAGTTCAGTATGGTAGGGAGCAGGGCAATTAGGAATCTGACTTTAAACCCAGGGCTAAGGAGTCCACATTCTCAGCAGGCAGAAATTCACAGCCAGCCTTCCTGAGCTCCAAGGTAGGAGGGCAGGGGACAGGAGGGTTAGGTGGTGAGTGGAGGTGGGGGTGGAGCGGACCAGGAGTGGGAGACTAAGCTGGGCCGTTCTCTCTCCAATCTAGGTTTCCCTTGTTCATGGCTGTGTACAAGGTGTGCTACGAGGGCCAGCCAGTGGGTGAATTTATCCGCTGCCTACAGAATCATCCGGAACATATGTGAGTGGGGTCAGGGCCCAGGCCAGGCCGCTTCTTTACCCCAATGGAGACCAGCAGAAGCCTGAGGTACCTAGTCATCAAGATCTCCAGGACTCCCAGGGAACAGAGTCTTCTCATCTTTTCACTGGAGGACAGGAGGCTATGGGGCCCAGATACACACTTGGAGATTCTGAACTGTCAAGTCACTGGCAGCCTCTTGCCACCACATTTGCCAGAAATGCAGTTGCCCTGTCCCTCTCCAGATGTAGGGCTTTCTCCTTGTCCTCTGGGAGGGGTGGAATCAAGCCCCAGTGTTGCCTGCTTGGCGGGGTGGGTGGGTGGGGTGTTATGTGGGGAAGGGTGGAGGGAGAGGGTGGCAGGGCAGGGGCTGCCAGTGGCTGTCTCACACAGACCAGGAATCCTGTTAAAGGGCTGAAGAAATATCTTAGCCACAGCAGGAATGAGGCAAGGATTGTCAGGGAAGGGTCTGGGCTTCTGAGCTGATGCAGGCCCCAGGGACCCCTTTGCTGACCTTTGCCAGGACCCACACAGTTTCAGTGGATCTCAGTGTTTGTTAACAAAATACAAAGACCTCAAACAATCCCCTTCTAGCTTCTCCTAGCAACATCTGCGTCCTCAGAAACCTCTGGTCCTCCCCTTTCCTTCTCCCCCAGGCTGCCCTGGCACTCGAGTTGCTGCCATGCTGGCATCTCTAGCTGGGTGGCTTGACATTCTCCCCAGGGACTTCCCGGTTCCTAGTTCTTTGCCAGCTCCTCCCCGTTCTGTGTGACCTTTCCAAGCCTTCCCTCACCCTCCTCGCCAGCACCCTGTTTGGGGGGCAGGAACTTAATCTGCTGACAGAGCTATACCTTTCACAGCAGGCTCAGATCACTGGGCTCCCTGTGACCTTTGTGTTCGCCCGGCCTCCCTTCTCAGTAGCTCTAGCTGGGGGAGGTGTCAGCTGGGCCCCTCCTGTGCTATCTCCCCAGAGGACATCCCTGACTCCACCCCTTTCCTCCTCCCAAACCCTGCACCCCTTCTTCAGACTGGCCAGGGTAACCCGCTAACCCGTGCCTGGCATCTGGAAGCCAGCAGGCCGGAGGGTGGCCCAAAGGCTGACGAAGGCTAGGGAAAGGTGAGCAGGTGGGTGGGTATCAATATTCCAAGGGCAGCTCTTTGCTAAATGAGGGCCTCCTTGTGAGGTACTGACCACACCGGCACCTCAGTAGTTGGGAAACTTAGGAGGAGGAAGAAAATGAAAACCACCCTACTCCCTGGGGGTGAGGGAAGAACAGGAGCCGGGGAGGAGGAGTGTGCTCTGCACTGGCCTTGCTCCAGGATGGGGTGGCAGCATTAGAATGTCACAGGTCAGCAGCCTAGGCCTCCAGCTATAAATAATCCGAGGGCCCCAGAGGCTCCCGCCCGTCCAGCAGGGGTCTCAGCTTCCTCTGTGGCAGCACCTGGCACACTGGCTCTGGCCAGCATTATGCCAAAGCCCTCCTACTCTCCAACGAACCAGGGAGGCGGGCTCCTCTCTGTGCCTAGCCCTTTAGAATTCTGTCTTAACAGTGAAGGGCGGAGCTGCCTAGATCAGGCAGCAAGAGTGAGGGCCACAGTTACCCCAGGCCTGGCTGAGACCAGGTCTGGGCACTGAGTGACTTCAGAGCTGCCTCCCCAGGAGGTTAAGGTGGAGGCAAAGGGGAAGCTTCAAACACTTTTGCCTACTTTTGTTCATCAGGTCCACCTGTCTACCCAATAAAGCGTGTTTTTCCAGAAACAGGAAGAGTTGGGAGAGGGAGCTTCAGTGCATGTGGCAGTGCGTGTGCTAGCGTGTATCATTGCACGTATGTTTTCCCCCTTACCGTAGGAAAAATAAAAAAAGAAATCCCTCCTCCATAATCGCAGCCACTCCAGGGGTCAGCGGCGGTGCCCACTCCCTCCCCTCGCCCGCCAGCGCCCCTTCCCGCCCTCGCCGCAAGCTGGCTCCCAGCCTTCCCGGCGCTTCTTAGGGGCTTTATCATGCCTCCTGCAAGAAGAGAGGTCATACACGAGACAGAAACGTTAGACACTCATCCCTCGTGCCCATTCCTTGGTCACGGCCCAAGCTGCCGCATCCTTGGCAGTCAAGGCCTCGCGGTACCCCTCCGGTCCCTACCTGGACTCGGCCCGCAGCCTGGCTCTAGGGGGCGCGCGGTCCACCTCCAGAAGGCCAGCTTCGAGAATCTACCTAGCTACTGTATACGTCACCAGCTGTCGGCCGAGGATTGGCTGACTCTGATTTAGCATCCTAACTTCCGGTTCCAGAGCTTGGCTCGCCAAAGACCCTCCCGCGAGGGAGCGAAACCACAGCCCCCAGAATTCAGCGGGCCTCTCGGAGAGCACGGCGAGTCTGAGGATGCGTAGTAAAGATAACGGGCCCAGAAGCCGGAAGTTCAAAGCCGGCCTCCAGCTGGAGTGGTGACCAACAGGAACTGCCGCCTCAGTGGGAGGAGTTGCAGCGTCTGACGCGCGGTTCCCTTTCCAGCGTCTGAAGCCGAATCCTAGAGGCTAACTCGGCAGGTGGGAGGGAGAAAGTCGCCTTCCGCACCAATAGCTGAGGCGTTCAGGGTTGTCCAGGGACGCTACCCTCTCGTGTCTGGTTCTGAGTCCTGCGTTCCGGAGTGCTGGAAAGTTGCGCAGACAGTGGCAGCGAGACGCTGCCTGCCTGAGGAGGCCTCGGTTGGACGCGAAGGAGCTGCAGCATCCAGGTACGCCGCCGGCTAGGGCCGAGCAGGGGCCGCCGATCCCGCTGCTTGCGCGCGCACCTGGGTCAGCCTCCGCTGGCCGCGTCCTCCCATCCCCCAGTCTTCAGGCCTGGTGCCCTTGAATTCAGTCACCCGCGTCTGCTGCGCCGCGGACCGTGAGCCGCACTGTTTCCTGCCCAAGCCCCTCGTGGCAGTAGTTCGGCCTTGTTAGCGCTCAGCGCTGATCCTGTCAAACTCGATTCCTGCCTGGCGTCTCGACCCTCCGCGCTCCTACTCCAGATGCCCCTTTTTTGCCTTAATACCTCTGCGCCCTGATAAGTGGCTCTCCGGAGCACCCTTCATGCATATCGGTTATCCAGCTCCACCTCTTGGCCGCTTTCACTTCCTGGAATGCTCTTCCTGCTCCTCTTCTCCAGCCCACCCTTCTAAAAAGACAGTTCCACCCCCACCCCGATTCCCACCCCTACACCTTTCTGCTAACTTTTCTCGAGCCCCCGCCCTGTCTCTGAGCTCTTGTTTCTAAACTCTCACAAGTACCGCTCCACCATACCGTAAGCTCCGTTACGACAGAAGCCATGTTCTTTTTAGTGGCCTTCATAGCAGGATGTATTTTATTTTGTTTTATTTTTGAGACAGGGTCTTGCTTTGTAGCTCAGGCTGCAGGCACGCACCACTACGCCCGGCCTTTTTTTTTTT